CTGGCCACGGGTTTTCTCCACGTCTTTAACGCATAAATATGAGTTAGTTTCCCTTAAAACGATTTCCCGAAAGGCATTCCCCCTAGGCAGATCGCCCAAGTGTTGCGTTGCCATAACTTAACAAACAAACAATTTCATTTTTACTATACTGCATCATTGAGGCAGGTGAAACTAAGTACATTAGAAAAAGATATCTGACTTACATATCTTGTCCCAGTGTCAAGCTTTGTAGCAGTAGATTCCAACGTCTGATTTTTTAGCAGATAGGAATATGTCAAAGTATGGGCAATGTTTCTCAATGATTCCAAGATGGTTTTCATTTGCATTAAAGTCAGTCGTATAATGATGACGATCACAGATATAAATTTCAAAATAAATTATAGAACTCTGCTTGAATTTTCATTTGAATCATTTCATGTATATATACAGTTCTATTTTGAGTACTGATTACTTTATTATTCGGTAGATTCCAACATTATTTATAAATACTGTATCATTTTTATTTAACAGTCTTAATTCGTTTAGTTGTATTTTTGTATCAATCACATATTAAAAATGCCAGAAAGTTTAATACTTATTTTATATTTTCAGGCTGCAAGATATTAGAATCTATAGCCAAAACGAAGACAATCTGGAAAATATGACATTTAATAAAAGTTTTTTTAACGAAATTAAAAACAATAGTTTTTATTATAGTAAATATTTCGACATGTATGTTTATGTAGGATTGATATGTGCTGTATTTCTAACGTCGTTACCTTCCGGATTATTGTTATGGAAATTTTTTACAGCTGCTTCTTTCAAGCTTCACAACAATATGTTTCGTTGTATCATTCGAACTCCGATAGCATTTTTGGATAACAATCCCATTGGTACGTAAAATGTTTTAGGTAATTTATTGTTAAGTTAAAGAGTTTCTAATAAAATACCGAAAGAAAATTTTCGATAGCGTTACGTAACTACGGATGCTGTTTATACTCTCGTTTATTGTATCACAGATATTCATTATAAGTGTGAGGGGCTAGCCGGAAACACGGAGTAGTTAAGCCTCGTATACCACTTAATCAGCAACTATTCTTTTGAATAACCCTCTGTTTGTCTAAAATGATGGTTTTTCTATTCAAAGAAAATCGACGGAGGAGGGCTTTAACTAAAACGTTAAAAGAAGGATCTAGGGCAGTGTTTCTCAACTTCTAACGAATCGTCGCCCCCTTCAACGTAGTATCGCCCCTTTCCTACAAAATTCCGATGCTGAGGGCCAAGGCTAATGCCAAATTCGTACTGCATCGAATAGAATAGTGACTCGNTTTAATTTAATTGTATTTAAACATGCCTTTAAAATAAAATACAGTTACACCAAAAAAATGAACATAAACAATCAACATCAATCCCTCAGTGGGCCGCGGCAAAATTATCAAACGTTGACCTGTCCGCGGCGATAAAAAGGTTGGGGATCGCTCTGTTTAGAGGATTATAATGAACGAACAAAACGCAAATTTATTAATAGAAAAATTACTAAACACACTAGTAGGAGAGTTTAAAAAAACTTGAAAAAACAAGCTAGCCAACGAATGGAAAGAGATGGAGAGCAGTCTTTATGAGTGTAATCTGTGGAAAGGGACGTCACATAAGCTACGAGAACTGGCTCAATTGAGTCCGAGCCTTTGGAGTGCGTAGATTGTACCTAAAGGGAAAGTGTGTTTATGCTTCCGTCGAGATTCAAGATGCAGAAAATTATTGAACAGCGTTTTGACAATAAATTTTGCGTTAAATTGAACAAATCCGCTACTTAGATTTTTTAGGTCTGCCGCGTTTTAAGAAAGATCGCCGATACCTGGATGCTCCATCACGACGATGAACCCAGTCACACCTTACTAATTGTGAGAGGGACACTGGCCAAACACAACATTTCAACGCTTCTTCAATTACCCTGCAGTCCAGATTTAGAGCCCTCGACTTCTTTTTATATCCTCGGATCAAAAGGTGCCTCAAGGGATATCGTTTCGAAACGATTGACGCAGTCCAAGCTGCTTTGACAAGATGCCTGAACAGCCTTCCGGTTGCCTAATTTCAGGGGTAATTTGATGATTAGATAAAGTACTGGCAGCGGTGTATGCAGGAGGATCGTCGCTTAAAGATTGTTAACTCACAGTACATGTATCTTTAATAATAAATTTTATTTTATGACTCCAGTCCCGTTACTTATGGACAAACCCTGGTCCTTAAAAAAAGCCGGAACAAATGAACAGAGATACCAAGGTTTTTTTGCCTTTGGAAAAACACACAAGCTTGGTAAAGAAATAAGACCAGTAAAGGAAACAAGTAGAAGACCAATACATATAATTTAAAAGCAATTCCACAAATATATTACTACCAATCTTGGGATCAGTATATTGGTTGCACAGAACCAAGGTATAGTAGTGAAAGAGTTACAAGACCTTTTGTTAATAGATGAAGAAACGGGCAGTAATGGATTTTGGAAAATTGTATTCAATATAAGTATAATCTTGTTTTGCAGCATTAATTGAATTCATGCTTCAACAATCTCCAGAATTAGTTAATTATTTCAATGACATGACGCAATTAGCAAAATTAGTATGTTTTGAATCATGTTTTACCTTTGATAACAAAATATATAGATGTAAGGAAAAAAGTTTCTATGGTGGCAACGTATTACGATTGTTATGTGAAATGGTGTTTCGAAAACTGAAAAAAAATATTCTGAATAACTTGTAAGCAGATATTAATATATTTTAAAAAATATGTAGATGATGTATGTATAATTTTGAAGAATAACAAAGGCATCACTGAATTTATTGATAAGTTTAACAGTAAAAAATGGGCTGACATTACAGACAGAACAAAAAACTTACTGCAGCTACATTTTGTACATATAAACATAGAATTTAATAACTGAAAAATAATCGAACATCAAGCCAACACACAGCCGACTGTATATCCCATTTAATTCAAATTATCGTTTTCAATACAAACTAGCGGGCATTGACCAGAAGAGCTTTTTTATATTGCGAACACCACAGTACTGTCCAAGATAACACGAACTAATGGCTCTAAACTAAAATGTGAAAAAACAAACGTTTTTAACTATACACACTCCCCATCAATAGCTCTTAACGCTGAAAAGCTTGAAATATATAAAAGCAGGTTTAAATATAAATGCATTATTGCAAGAAATGCTAACAGCTTAGTAGCAGCATGGAGATACATTGTACATAATAAGTTTGGAAAAAACTTCTAATTGCCTTATTTTTATTATATATTTTTGTGTTATTTATTTTGCGTTTAACTGTTATTTACTATTTACGTTAATTTTCAGTTGTATTCGCTCTACTTTCAAATATTTAAACTTTGTTGCTTTTTTATTTTATTTTCGTATTATATTTTGGAACGATATTTAACGATAAAAATGTTCCTACAAAAATGTAGCCTGACGTTGGCCCATTCAATAGGTTCAAACCGTTCGCCAAATAAAATGAATTTCAGCAGAAAACCAGTGTTTAAATTAATAATATATGTTAAATTACTGTATGCTTTATTATAGTTAGAAAAACTATTAAATTCTAGCATAATATATAATATTTAAATTAATTTTTTTAATTTTAAGCTAGGAACCGGTTTTATTCGATGAGTTATGAAAGAAAATAAACAAATACTTAATTTAGAATTCAAACATTTATCAGGTGATACAAAAACTTGATTTTTTGGAAATCAATTTTGTAAAAATATGTAAAAAATGTTTTCTTTCGCGGCTAAACTATAAACAGTTGCTTGTTCAAACTTCGCTAGAAATCGTTTATCTGACCTTTTGTCTAACTGACGAATTTGATCAAAAGATATTGCTGTATACCAGCTTATCTAAGCGATGAAAACTCCGAGTTTTCATAGCTTAAATGATCTAGGTTCCAGTAATATTCCCTATAGGGCCAATATTAAGAAAATTTATCTTTCTCTATTTTTTTTTAAATTATACGCATCAATTTTTATTATATTCTAGCACAAGTAAGAAGTGAATATGGTTCACTTCCTAAACATCCTTTATCTATACTGATATTTAAAACTTCAAAATATGATATACAGTTGATTTGCTATTGTCTATCGTTAAAAAGCTCACCACCATTTTTTTAGAGTGATTCACTTTATTTTGGTACATCTTTCCGAATTCATTTACGAATGATCGTAATTTTCATATTCTGTATCTGAGCGTGTATAATGACATAATTGTTAACGCAAAAATTTTTAAATTTATATTTTCGAATTTAAAAGTTATGAAGCTTTAAACTCAGTTCAGGCATTTTGTTTCATTGCAGTACTTCGTTTCACTGCTTAGGAATGTTTTTTTTTTAATTTTTTGAAGTACATTCCTGTCACCGTTACGAAGCAGGGCGTTATGAAAATTGTAATTAACGTAAAATTAAAAATAAACAGAAATCTTTTTGAGATAATGTTATCTATGATTGGTTACTTTGACACCTTGTAGTAGAGGCATCATGTTTCTTCTTCCATATGATCCTGACTTCCCTGTTTTAGCTGATAAAATACCACACGGAAAATTTAATTTAATATAGAACAAAAATGACTTTATTAGGAAAACAGTAAATTTCCGAAAATTTGATAAATTTTCAGATTACTCTTACATAGTTTCACGAAAACGAAAGTAAATGTAAAGATTAGAAAACACTTAGGATGGAGACAACATTCTGTTATCGCCTCAAGCGCCACCGTATTTTTATAAAAAAAAAAAAATATTTAAAAAATTGGAAACGAGACTAGTTCTGTAACGGTCATTTGTAGCAGCCATTTTGTATTAGTGTTTTATTCCACATTAAACGTTATTTTCTGCAAAACCGCACTACTTTCATATTTTTACAGTCCATTAAAGATTGACAAACACATTCTGTAAAATTAATCGTAAATTCGATGTAATGCTTACGTGATATTTCTTCTGTTTAAGGGTAATTTTATATTATTATATTTTCCAGAGCAGTATATGTGGATGCCGATATTTTCCTCCTGGATGATCCACTGAGTGCCGTTGATGTTCCAGTAGCAAAACATATATTCGAAAAGTAAATATTTAAATAATATTTTTTGAATATTTTAATATATTTTAATTTATTGCTTATTTTCAGATGTATAATGGAATATCTGAAAGACAAGATTTGCATTCTCGTTACGCATCAAATACAATTTCTAAATTCTGCAAGTAAAATTTTAGTGTTAAAGAAGGTAAATACCTGAATATTTTTTTCTAGTTTTCGTTTTATAAATCATTTTCTACAGTATTGAAAACATTATAATTTATTTTAACAAAACATGAATTTAAACAGTATGAAGTTCAGATTAAAATTAACCATTATAATTAATATATATTTTGTCTACTTGGACATTAATTATTAATAGGAAAATTATACTAGTTTTTTTTAAGTTTTTACTCAATTCTTGCATAAAAACTTAAAAAACTAGTGTAATTGCCCTATTAATAATTAATGTTCAAGTATACAAAATATACATTAAGAAACTAAAGGACAGTAAGGCAATAATAATTAAGCATTATAAATTTGACTGCACTAGTAAAAAAACCATTACAACAAAGCTATATGTGGACATCTTATAATGTCATCTATGAACAATATGAAGAAAATAATTCTTTTAGGAAGAATTGTTTTTTTCAGAGAATAATTGTTATTCCATAATAAACACGTTACGAAAATTTGTAAAATTGTGAATAATATACGGTTGACACTTGTGAGTGTGCAAACAGTTATATTCACTTTCTATTCGTGGCAGAAAATGCAGAATAGGATTTGCATTGCAGTTTAAAAATGCATTTTTTAACCTTAATAAATAAGACAATTGTAACCGATAAACTCGGTAAACATTAGTTAAAACGTAATACATTTTCGAATCGAAAGTTTTGTCTGCATACATGTTTATATATTAACAATTCAAAAACAATTGCAAAGTTGTGTTTTTAAATTGCAGGGAGAATGTGAATTCATTGGAAATTTCAATGTATCGGAAAATTTAGAAATGCTTACAGGAATTTTGCCAAAGGAAGAAGTCGCTACAAAGAGCATGGATTTAGAGACTGCGGTTTTCAATGATGAGGAAATGATCGGAATCACTCAATCTGAAGTAAATGATCACATTGAAGACAGTCACCACGGCAATGCGGTAAGGATTGTTAATTAGACTATTATCATAGTAAAAATTAACAGAGTAAAATAATTGACGTTATGCAGTTTTAATTTTTTAAAATTGATTTTATTAAGTTTTTCACGTAAATAATTTCTAGTTACAACAAAAATTATTTGATGATATAGATTAATTGTTATAAACGATTTTAAAACGTTTTTACTGGATAATACTTCTATCTTTATATTTCTATTAGCATTAATGTTTTAATGGCTGAGCCATAATTTTGTGAGAGGAATAAATAGCGCCCCCTGGGTAAAGATGTGACTTTACTTGTGAATTCATTTGGGGCACAATAACTTGTGTTATAGCTCGAAAGCTGGAGCGATTATATGTTGGAACTTGTGGTATTCGACCAAAAAATTTTCAGACAGTGAACCAGAAATGATTCAATTTTCTACGAATATAATACAAAACAATAAAGATTTTATTAAGCTTAAGAGATTATTGAGGTACACTACAAAAAGCAGAAATTATATCTAAACTAGATTTATCCACAGAGTTACCTTCTAGTATGTGTAACTACTACAATATAAGTCATTAACGATTACCTCTACAAAAGCCCCTATCTCTGAATGAGCGAGTTTACAAATTAATTGTGTATCGATAAAATCTCTAAAATAACTATCTTAAGGAGTTCCTTCGTTGATTCCTTCCTTTTGTGGATAGCTAACTTGGCGAATATATAAAACAATAGCACTTGGAAAAAATACAGTTCCAGTGATATGCTGGCATAACTTGGGAAGATGAAACAATGGAATCTTCATGAAAATTTCGATTTCAAACTGGAACATTCGATTTCTATATATTTCCTGTTTATATTATTCTTGTTTCCTTTGTCTTTCGACATACTCAAATTTGAAAAAATCGGATAGAGAGTGAGATTATTATTCAATCCTAAAATTGTTCTTTGTTGAACTTCCTCGGTTGAATCGAACTCAACGGATGAAGAAGCAATTCGAAAAGATGAGTTATCAAGAAACAAATGTAATTAACTTGATTTTTAACTTCATAGATTTTAGCTTTGTTAAACAGTATAAATTTAACACAATTGTTAAATCTTATAAATAATAGCTCGGGGTTTTACAGTTTTAAATCATGACCAATACAATAATAAATCAAAAATATACTAGTTTACAAGAACTTTTTATGAATTGAATGAAAGTTTAATGATTTTAAGAAAACTGTATTTTTTTCATAAATATTGTGATTTTTTCTATTTATGATTTAGGACATCAGGTACGTATATTTTATAATGGATTTTTAATAACACCCTCAAAATTTTGTAACAAAACAAACAAAACGTATATTTATAAATTTATTGTTTACTGAAGCAACAGAAAAGTCTTTAATTTGAAAATATAAAATACATGAAATGTTCAAAATGATTTCAAAAATCCATCGTTCAAAATCTCTTAATCTTAAATGATCCTAGGCAGTACTGTTTTCAACGTACACTATGCTCGAAAACAGGCAGTTTCCATCTCCTTGTATAGTAATAAAAAAATGTAGTAGTACTCTCATTTAATAACAAATACACTTTTCGTAATTTATTTCGATATTTATTTGCATTTCAGTGTCTATTATTAAGGTGAGATTAATGAGAAATTTTAATCATTACTTGAATAGAATGATTTTAACGATAATGTTCCAAAAAACTTGTTTCGAACGTTATATTTCGAATTTTAAATGAATTCATATTCGTTTAAATTCGTTTATTTACCAGAATTTTTGTTTCTTGTTTACCTAAAAATAAAAATAATTAAAAGTTTTATTAATTGCCAAAATGTATACACTATTTATTTTCCTTTTTTATTATTTACACTTTATACTGACTAAAATTACTTTCTCTTTCTCCTCTCTATGAAGAGGAAGTAAAAATTTTAACATTCGTTTTTTTGTGTGCATTCTTATGGCGTACTCTACTAAAAAGCAGTTAAAAATTAAAAATCGCATTTAAAATATTAATAGTAGAAGCTGAATTCTTTAGGATATACCTTAAACCTTTCCCTCTCCCATGCAAGAGATGAATTTCGAAAAGTCTTTCTTAATGTATATTATCGTGACATATTCTAACTGTACCAAATTTTATCTTTTAACTCCTAACCGTTTGGGTTTTGCGCTTATTATTATCATTATTATCATTATAAATGCATTTTGATTATATTATAAGAAAATACAGCTTGTTAGGAAACCAACGATAAAGTCATTCTGAAACTCTTTAGCTGCATAAAAACTATATTAACAGAAAACGAGCTGAAGACATTCGCAAAAGTTCGTAAGTTGATGGGTACCTGCTGAGTTCTGTATTAAGATATAATAAATTTTATGCTTTATAAATTTTCAGAAGTTAATATTGCATTATGTTATATTCTGTGTTCGCCAGGACTTCCAATTCTGTTTAAGTTACGAAATAATTCTAAAAATTGTGTTTTAGAATTAGGAGTTTTAAAGCGGTTGTACAAATAATTTTATTATATATATATATATATAATATTGATTAAATATTAAAACAATATAATCAGTGTACTCTTATAGCTAAAAAGTTATATTTTAAAAACAAGATAAAAGTTAGAATACTTTAAAATCTATTAAAAAAGCATCGACAAAAAATATCCTTCTCAGTCTTTACCGATTTTCATCTTTACATTTACTGTGTTTTTAATTCTTCGACCGTTAATGATAATATTTGTTGAGATACATTTCATATTTTTCTTATTTGCTATTTTTGATGTTTTTCTATATTAGGAACTAATAATCAAACAAAAAAGTGAACAGTTTTATTGGTTTTTATATAGAAATTAACAATAACACATCTGATTTGCAGTTATATGAAGAAGTTACATCTTATATTAAAAAAAGTTATATCCTAGATTCTTGTGGTTCGAAAATAATATTATAATATCGCTCTAGATTTAAGAAAAATTTAACAAATAATTTTATATACATTTTAATTATTTTTCGTAGGAAACTGAAAATAACAAAATACCACGCGACAATGAAGGTGTTAAGAAACCAGGAATTTCAGTCTATAAAGCATACGTGAATGCCGGAGCAGGACTTTTCTTCAAAATCGTTATTTTATCCGCGCTAATTATATCGCAATCCGTTACTAGTGCCAGCGACTACTGGCTAATCAAATGGTATGATATTATTATAACTTAGCATACTTTAAGACATGAACAGATTTTTGAATAAAATGTTTAATTAAAACAATGTTATATTTCATAAGCCATATTGCATTAAGCACTGGTTTCAGATACTGTATTATCAATGACCAAACAATTGCAATAAATATATAATTTTATTAATATTTCAACTCAACAGTATTATGTGGCATTCAAAATAAACGTCATAATAAAATTTTCAAATATAGGATATAATCAATAGAATGAATTATTTAAAAAATATTTATATATACATATTTTTTAAAGAGTTACTAAAAATTATATATATATCCTAGACAAATAAATTTATTTTTTAAATTTAAACTTGAAACTTAATGTCAACAGAAAAAACATTTACTTCAATGAAATTAACATCAAACATAATTTCATTTTTATGAGCCCACTAGTGGCCAATTTGTCTTTGTATCCTGAACACTAGGAGTTTAGTCGTGGGTTCGAGCCTCACTCAGACGGGCTGGCCACGGGTTTTCTCCACGTCTTTAACGCATAAATATGAGTTAGTTTCCCTTAAAACGATTTCCCGAAAGGCATTCCCCCTAGGCAGATCGCCCAAGTGTTGCGTTGCCATAACTTAACAAACAAACAATTTCATTTTTACTATACTGCATCATTGAGGCAGGTGAAACTAAGTACATTAGAAAAAGATATCTGACTTACATATCTTGTCCCAGTGTCAAGCTTTGTAGCAGTAGATTCCAACGTCTGATTTTTTAGCAGATAGGAATATGTCAAAGTATGGGCAATGTTTCTCAATGATTCCAAGATGGTTTTCATTTGCATTAAAGTCAGTCGTATAGATATAAATTTCAAAATAAATTATAGAACTCTGCTTGAATTTTCATTTGAATCATTTCATGTATATATACAGTTCTATTTTGAGTACTGATTACTTTATTATTCGGTAGATTCCAACATTATTTATAAATACTGTATCATTTTTATTTAACAGTCTTAATTCGTTTAGTTGTATTTTTCTATCAAACACATATTAAAAATGCCAGAAAGTTTAATACTTATTTTATATTTTCAGGCTGCAAGATATTAGAATCTATAGCCAAAACGAAGACAATCTGGAAAATATGACATTTAATAAAAGTTTTTTTAACGAAATTAAAAACAATAGTTTTTATTATAGTAAATATTTCGACATGTATGTTTATGTAGGATTGATATGTGCTGTATTTCTAACGTCGTTACCTTCCGGATTATTGTTATGGAAATTTTTTACAGCTGCTTCTTTCAAGCTTCACAACAATATGTTTCGTTGTATCATTCGAACTCCGATAGCATTTTTGGATAACAATCCCATTGGTACGTAAAATGTTTTAGGTAATTTATTGTTAAGTTAAAGAGTTTCTAATAAAATACCGAAAGAAAATTTTCGATAGCGTTACGTAACTACGGATGCTGTTTATACTCTCGTTTATTGTATCACAGATATTCATTATAAGTGTGAGGGGCTAGCCGGAAACACGGAGTAGTTAAGCCTCGTATACCACTTAATCAGCAACTATTCTTTTGAATAACCCTCTGTTTGTCTAAAATGATGGTTTTTCTATTCAAAGAAAATCGACGGAGGAGGGCTTTAACTAAAACGTTAAAAGAAGGATCTAGGGCAGTGTTTCTCAACTTCTAACGAATCGTCGCCCCCTTCAACGTAGTATCGCCCCTTTCCTACAAAATTCCGATGCTGAGGGCCAAGGCTAATGCCAAATTCGTACTGCATCGAATAGAATAGTGACTAGTATAATGTTATTGTAATTATTGTATGATATAACGAATAAAATATCTAATTATTCTTAATATAATGTATTACTATATCGCCCAGAAAATTGTTTATCGCCCCCCAAAATATAAATTGTTGCTAATCGCCTCCTGAACATGGGAAAACGCCCACATGGGGGCGATATCGCCCCCGTTGAGAAACATTGATCTAGGGGAGGAGTCCTAGATCTTGTCAAAATCCTTGACAAAAGTTAATCAGTTATTTCACACGCGGATTAACACGCGTTATCTCTAACTTGTGAGTAGGAGGAGCGAAGGAAATTTAAATGAGAATGAGTATGGATAGCTAACATTAACCAAACCATTTTTTTAATATAAAAAATCAAAACCTTTAATAAATCAAAAATATATAATTATTCAAAAGAATGAATCTAAACCTAATCCTAATTCTAATTCTTAACCTAAGATTATTTCTAACCCTAACGCGTGAGAGAGAGTTCACAACAATCTATCAGAGTTCATATTACTTTCGTCTTTATATCTTTCGTATTTTTTTCTGTATCTATTTGAGTGTCTTCTTCCTTTCCTGATTATTTCTCTTCTAATATTTTTCTTTAAACAGTTCTCTTTAATCTTCTCTTTTTAATGTTCTTGTATACTTCGAATGTAGTCCGATATAACTATATTTTTATGACTTCTTTTTGGATTTGTAAAGCAGCCTTATATGACAAAACTTTTTATCGTATGTCGAGTTTCTGCGTATGGCAGTACCTTGTTTCGATGGACTACCTTTGTCATATGTCAAAATTCTTCGTGTGGCAAATAACTTTTTTTAACGGACTGCCGTTATCGTATGGAGAGCTCTTCCCATGTGGTAATACCTCGTTTTGACAGACTGCCTCGAGTGGCAGAAAAACATCCCTTTTATTTTCTCTTCAGTAACGTGTACAAAAACTCATGCGACTTATCATGAGTTGGCCTGGGAAAGGAAATCAACTTCCTTTCCAAATCGAAAGTTTCATCCGTTTTTTAGAAAAAATCGTTGAAATAATTGTCTAATCTTTTCTTCACCTTGTAAATCTTTCCTGGAATTTCCAGATTCTCACATAAGTTTTATACAGTATATTACAGTATTATCATATAATTACTGTACTGTAATATTAACAGTTAAATACAGTGGGTGATCGGTTAACGAACATAATCCGTTCCAAGACTTTGTTCGCTACTTTAATTCTTTTTTAACCGATTATCGATTTACCATACGTTTTTATGCAAATTTGATTAATTCGTTCCAGAGACCAACGAAAATAAAAAACGTATATATACATTCGTTTAGTTATACCTTCTTCCTCCTGGCCTATATCCCAGATTATTTGGGGTCAGCCTGGAATGACAATTTATGCCACGTTGGTCTATCTCTAATTGTTTCTTCATCCACTCCACAGTCCAGCATATCTGTTTTTACACATTCAATCCACCTCTTTTTAGGTCTTCCTCTGCCTCTATCTCTCTGTACTTTCATATTTAGTGCCTTTTTTGTTACATGTTCTTCATTCCTTTTCACCACATGTCCAAACCATGTCAATTTGTGGCTTTTTATTTTTTCTGAGATAGCTACTACCTTTAAACTTTTTCTGATGTAATCGTTTCTAATCCTATCCATTTTTGTGACCCCGCACATCTATCTCAGCATTCGCATCTCTGCCACGTGCAAACGCTTTTCTTTGGTGGCTGTCATCGGTTAGCACTCGCACCCATACATAAGCACGGGTCTGATGACAGTTTTATATATTATCCCTCTTATTTTAAGTGGCATGCGTTTGTCACAAGTTATTCCTGTCACCTGTTTCCACTTTAACCACCCTGCATTGATCCTCCCAGTAACTTCCCTATCAATGTTGCCATCTTTTTGCAGCAGAAATCCCAGATAACGGAATTCAATACTTTTTGGCAATGGTATTCCATTTAGTTTTAACGAACCAGTACCAGGGAGACCGTCAAAATTACAGAACATATACGCTGTCTGGGTTTGGCTGACTTTTAGTCTTTCACTTTCCAGCACGTGTTGCAATTTGTTTAGCCGTCTCTGTAATTCTTCCCTGCCCTTATCAATGAGGACTATGTCATCTGCAAACAGCACACACCAGGATACGTCCTCTTGTACAGCAAATGTTATCGCATCCATAACTAATAGACAGAGGTATGGGCTGAGTGCTGACCCCTGATGTAAGCCCACTCTTACTTCGAACATGCCCGTCAATCCGGCTCCAGTTCTAACCTGTGTGCTAGCCCTATAGTACATATCTTCAATTGTCACAATGTATTGAAGCGGCACACCTTTCTTCCTAAGGCACCACCAAAGGACTTCTCTCGGGACTCTGTCATACGCTTTTTCCAAGTCTATGAACATTATATGCAGGTTTTTTCTCACAGCTCGGTACTTCTCCATCACCTGTCTCACCACGAATATGGCATCTGTAGTACTCCTCCCAGGCATAAATCCAAACTGGCCTTCAGTGACACTAGTTTCCTCTCTAATCCTCCGTTCAAAATTACGTTTTCAAAAAGTTTCATTGTATAAGCCAATAGTTTTATCCTCCTATAATTATTACATTTCTGCACATCCCCCTTTTCTTTAAAGATGAGTACTAAATAGCTTCTTCTCCATCTATTGGGTAGAGTTCCCTCTAAGTACTTAGTTAAACAGCTCTGTTAACCAGTCTCTTCCCTCCTCTCGTAGGACTTTTCATACCTCTATTGGTATCTGATCCAGGCCCACTGATTTCCCATTTTTCATTTTATTCAATGCCAGCTTTACTTCCCATTTCTCTATTATGTCTACTAGGCCAATATTTGGCTCTATATTTTTAGTGTTAGTTTGTCTGTCATTCCCCACGTTCATAAGGTCTTTAAAGTATGTTTTCCACCGGGCCTTAATTTCTTCATTTTTAGTTAGCACTTTGCCATTTGTGTCCTTTATACACTTGATATAGTTCATATCTTTACTCCCTCTGCCTCTCATTTTCGCAAGTCTATATATGGCTTTTCTACCCTGTTTTCCCATGAGTGATCTATACATTCTGTCCTAGGTTGGAGTCTTAGGTATGCTGATCGCTGTCTTCGCCTTATTTTTCATTTGCACATAACCCTCTCTTTTCTCTCTTCTTTACTTCTAACTTTTAAATGCATCTTTTAAAAGCTTCTTTACTTAAAACTTTTAAAAGAATCTTTCTTCTCTCTTATAGCTTTCTTTACTTTCTCATTCCACCACCATACCTCCTTCTCTATTTTCCTAACTGAGTTTGTTTCTCCCAGAAGTTCCTTTGCAAACCTTCGTATTACCCTGGCCACCTGTGTCCACCATTCATCTGCCTAGTGATTGCACTTCGCATTACCATTCATAACACTTATTACTTTTTCTTTAAACTCTATTGCCCTTTCCCCTTTTAACAACCACTATTTAATTTCAGGTATCAGTTTATCTTTATACTTAATTCTATTAGGATCAATCCTTAATTCCATTACTAAGAATCTATGCTGACTAGTCAAGTCTTCTCTCGGTATCACTTTATAGTTCTTAATCTCCTTTAGATTAGTCCGTCTTGTTAATAGGTGGTCTATTTGTGATTTATGATCCCCGTTCTTATAAGTTATTAAATGTTCTTTACATTTATCAAAATAAGTGTTAACCACTACTAAATCATAGGCAGTGGCCATTTGCAAAACATACTCTTCTTCGAAATTTCTACCACCAAATACTTTGCCTCCATGTACTCTCTCAAAACCAGCATTACTTTTTCTCACATACCCGTTAAAGTCCGCTCCAATAAATATCTCCTCTTCTGTATCTCTGTCATCATCATAGCCAAATATTCCCAAAATTGCTTTTTTACTCCAGCATATACACCTACTTGCGGTGCATATGCACTGATTATATTAACTATCAGTTTTCCAATACTTAGTTTCACCAATAATAATCTATTATTTACTCTATTGAATATGACTACATTCTTCGTTAAGTCGTTGTCTACGACTATCCCCACTCCATTCCTCTTTCCATCTTTACCACAGTAGAAAAGTTTATACCCTTTGCCAATCTCTTTAGCTTTTGCCCCTTTCCACTTTGTCTCCTGCAAGCACGCTATATTGACTCTTCTTCTTCTCAGGTTATCTGCTAATTCAGCACCTCTCCCTGTCTTAGTCCCTATATTCCAACTTCCCACTCTTAATGGGACCCGCTTCTTACGTTGTCCCTGTCCCATATGAGACGACAACCCTTGTCCATTTCCCACAGCCGCTGGGTGCTGCGGTTGTGCATCGCTTTTGGAGTACGCCCTAGTATTATCACATCTCAAAGTGGCATCAGACATTTTATACAAAAAGATTTGGCTGGGTTTTTTACAATCGGCCACCAACCAGACACCAACCTTCCTATTTTTCTAACCTGGGCTGAGGAACCAGGCTTAGAAGGGATTTCGCAGAGGCCTAGCACCTAAGCTCCAAGAGACTCAATACAGGCCTTAAGCAACAGATGGTCGTCCACTATCTACAGATACCGCCCTGCCTCTGGCAGCACCCAGCCCCGGAAGGCCCTCCTCCAGTGTGGCATCGGAGTATTATACAATAGATATTGAACTTTTATTAGTCATGTTTTTTTCCATTTGCGGAGGCAAAAGAATCTGTCTAATGTCGATTGCTTATCTCTCTTCTTCATGATTTTTCAGAAGTAATTATCCGCTATAACAAAAATTTTTAATTTTAATAGCATTATAATTGTAGAGATGCGCAAGCATATTAACCTCAACCTGGTTTGGATGCCATTGTAAGTCCGTTGTTCTGAGATTTTCTTACTTCTTCAAAATATGTTTAATAGCAGATATCGGCATTAATTCTCTTTTTCAGAAGAAAACATATCTTGCAGGGTTTCTTGGTGTTCTTCGCTGAAGAGTTCTAGAAGTTCTTCTGTCATCAGATCAGTTTCAGGTTCCATTTTGAGTCCTCAATGTTTTTTATGTCTCATATGCGATTTTTGTTACTTAATTAGTTGCTTGAGTCTTCTTGATTGTACAGTATCTTTCTTAGATAAGATTGAACTGAAACCTACTGTAGACCTGTTCAAGCCATACTGCCCACCAACATCAAACATCTACCCATTCTCTACCTTTGCCATTACACTCTCACGTTTCGAAAATAAATAACAACGCAAAACTTAACGAATGCCCACCTGACAGTCTCACAAATACTATAAAACAATTGTTTCTGTCAGAAAAATATAAGCTGGAATTACAAGGGAGAGTTTCAAAGTTTGGGAAAATACTAACCGTGCAGTATATAACAAATTGAGTGCCGATGTTGACGTTTTCCGCTCTCCAAAAAGTTTCGAGTTGTTGCCTGAAGAATAATCTGATTCGTTATTTTACATCGCTTCTTTTTATGTTTGTTCTGTGTAAAAAAGCTGGGCGGCCGTACGGGTACACACGTGCAGTGTGTGGGCTCTGTCTTTGGATTGCGATTTCTCCGATCATAGTAGGAATTCGTGAGTAGTTTTAGTGTCATTTTGTTCGGGAAGGTATAAACTATCGAACGCCGTTTATTCGATTTGATTCGGTTCAGTCCTCCGATAGTTATGGCCACCTTTGTGCCGAGGCCACGTGGTGTCCCCGGTCGGCCATTTCGTAGCACTTTGTTTCGATCTACAGGTTGTAAGGTTAAATTTAGATACTTTTAGGTCTTTAACTTGTTTTAATAGCCATCCTCCGTTAATTATTTCGAGTGCCACGGTACTGTTTCCGGGTTACTTTTAGGCCTTTCGTAATTATACGACCTTCCGCTGGCAGTTATTAGGCCCGTAAATTGTGTGTGGAACAAAGAACCACGTGCTAGCACTATATTCGACCCTAACCTGAAATCGTTTTTGGCGTAGCCGACCCTATTTCCGATTCGGGAACGTTATTAACATTTTCTTCTGGGGTTTTAGTATGGGAATTGTTATTACTTATTGCACCTTGTCCCCTCTTTGGTCGTTATAGGAGCCATCATTTTTCAGGTCGTAAAGCGATCCGACGGCTTTTCTCGCTTATTGGCAAAGTGATATTGCTATTTAGCTGTAAGATAAACCAAGTTGAGACTCCAGACAGTTCGCGCGGTTCTCATGTAGTGCGTCGGCATCGGGGTCAACACTTGTGCGTCGTGACCGTGGTCAACTCTAGTGTGTCATCATTGTGGTCAACACTTGTGCATCATTACGGGTCACATCTAGTGCGTCGGTCAGGAACCTTTTGCATTCTATCAGTTCCCTTTTGGCTGGATTCGCTTCACACTTATCTGGTTGGTCTATTCTTCGCTCATACCAATCATGTCAACGCCGTGCCAAACAGTTTCCTATTCCAGTGATGGGGCTTCACAACTGTGCTAGTCTGTGGATCCTCTTGAAGACTGCATCTTTGAGGAAGCCAATCAACATTTTACAAGAATAATAGATCTTCTCCCAGAAAAACATAGCACGTACCTAAGAACTGAAGATCGCAAAAGGGTAAGAAACAGAGTCACTCATTTATTTTCCTGCCTTGGTCAATTCCATAGCATTCTGAAGGAGATCAGGACATCTGCTTCTCGGCACCCATCCCCCCCTTCTGTACCACCGCAGGTCTCTAGCACTTCATATGCAGACATTACTAAAATTAATACTAAGCCTAGCTCTACTACTCGTACAATAAACAACTCCTTGAGGAACANTATATTTTAAAAACAAGATAAAAGTTAGAATACTTTAAAATCTATTAAAAAAGCATCGACAAAAAATATCCTTCTCAGTCTTTACCGATTTTCATCTTTACATTTACTGTGTTTTTAATTCTTCGACCGTTAATGATAATATTTGTTGAGATACATTTCATATTTTTCTTATTTGCTATTTTTGATGTTTTTCTATATTAGGAACTAATAATCAAACAAAAAAGTGAACAGTTTTATTGGTTTTTATATAGAAATTAACAATAACACATCTGATTTGCAGTTATATGAAGAAGTTACATCTTATATTAAAAAAAGTTATATCCTAGATTCTTGTGGTTCGAAAATAATATTATAATATCGCTCTAGATTTAAGAAAAATTTAACAAATAATTTTATATACATTTTAATTATTTTTCGTAGGAAACTGAAAATAACAAAATACCACGCGACAATGAAGGTGTTAAGAAACCAGGAATTTCAGTCTATAAAGCATACGTGAATGCCGGAGCAGGACTTTTCTTCAAAATCGTTATTTTATCCGCGCTAATTATATCGCAATCCGTTACTAGTGCCAGCGACTACTGGCTAATCAAATGGTATGATATTATTATAACTTAGCATACTTTAAGACATGAACAGATTTTTGAATAAAATGTTTAATTAAAACAATGTTATATTTCATAAGCCATATTGCATTAAGCACTGGTTTCAGATACTGTATTATCAATGACCAAACAATTGCAATAAATATATAATTTTATTAATATTTCAACTCAACAGTATTATGTGGCATTCAAAATAAACGTCATAATAAAATTTTCAAATATAGGATATAATCAATAGAATGAATTATTTAAAAAATATTTATATATACATATTTTTTAAAGAGTTACTAAAAATTATATATATATCCTAGACAAATAAATTTATTTTTTAAATTTAAACTTGAAACTTAATGTCAACAGAAAAAACATTTACTTCAATGAAATTAACATCAAACATAATTTCATTTTTATGAGCCCACTAGTGGCCAATTTGTCTTTGTATCCTGAACACTAGGAGTTTAGTCGTGGGTTCGAGCCTCACTCAGACGGGCTGGCCACGGGTTTTCTCCACGTCTTTAACGCATAAATATGAGTTAGTTTCCCTTAAAACGATTTCCCGAAAGGCATTCCCCCTAGGCAGATCGCCCAAGTGTTGCGTTGCCATAACTTAACAAACAAACAATTTCATTTTTACTATACTGCATCATTGAGGCAGGTGAAACTAAGTACATTAGAAAAAGATATCTGACTTACATATCTTGTCCCAGTGTCAAGCTTTGTAGCAGTAGATTCCAACGTCTGATTTTTTAGCAGATAGGAATATGTCAAAGTATGGGCAATGTTTCTCAATGATTCCAAGATGGTTTTCATTTGCATTAAAGTCAGTCGTATAGATATAAATTTCAAAATAAATTATAGAACTCTGCTTGAATTTTCATTTGAATCATTTCATGTATATATACAGTTCTATTTTGAGTACTGATTACTTTATTATTCGGTAGATTCCAACATTATTTATAAATACTGTATCATTTTTATTTAACAGTCTTAATTCGTTTAGTTGTATTTTTGTATCAATCACATATTAAAAATGCCAGAAAGTTTAATACTTATTTTATATTTTCAGGCTGCAAGATATTAGAATCTATAGCCAAAACGAAGACAATCTGGAAAATATGACATTTAATAAAAGTTTTTTTAACGAAATTAAAAACAATAGTTTTTATTATAGTAAATATTTCGACATGTATGTTTATGTAGGATTGATATGTGCTGTATTTCTAACGTCGTTACCTTCCGGATTATTGTTATGGAAATTTTTTACAGCTGCTTCTTTCAAGCTTCACAACAATATGTTTCGTTGTATCATTCGAACTCCGATAGCATTTTTGGATAACAATCCCATTGGTACGTAAAATGTTTTAGGTAATTTATTGTTAAGTTAAAGAGTTTCTAATAAAATACCGAAAGAAAATTTTCGATAGCGTTACGTAACTACGGATGCTGTTTATACTCTCGTTTATTGTATCACAGATATTCATTATAAGTGTGAGGGGCTAGCCGGAAACACGGAGTAGTTAAGCCTCGTATACCACTTAATCAGCAACTATTCTTTTGAATAACCCTCTGTTTGTCTAAAATGATGGTTTTTCTATTCAAAGAAAATCGACGGAGGAGGGCTTTAACTAAAACGTTAAAAGAAGGATCTAGGGCAGTGTTTCTCAACTTCTAACGAATCGTCGCCCCCTTCAACGTAGTATCGCCCCTTTCCTACAAAATTCCGATGCTGAGGGCCAAGGCTAATGCCAAATTCGTACTGCATCGAATAGAATAGTGACTCGTATAATGTTATTGTAATTATTGTATGATATAACGAATAAAATATCTAATTATTCTTAATATAATGTATTACTATATCGCCCAGAAAATTGTTTATCGCCCCCCAAAATATAAATTGTTGCTAATCGCCTCCTGAACATGGGAAAACGCCCACATGGGGGCGATATCGCCCCCGTTGAGAAACACTGTGTTAGACGGTGGTAAATTGGTGCTCTACCAACAAAGTGCCAACGGGTAACGTTCCGGAATGTGAATTTTTACTTTACCGTCTGTTATATATAACACAGCGAAAGTATGGCGAACGGGGAAAATACGCCCCATTAGATTTTTACACTTTTGGAATGATGCGTCCTTTGAAACTTGAAGTGCAAAAAACTTCGAGGTAATTTCAGTATGTATGAAATTTAATGTCAATGTTTATGGAGTAAGTCTTAAGTCTTACAAAAAACACCTAACTATGAAAGTCCGTCAAAGTTATCGGAAAGACAGAAACTACAAATTATTAAAGTAAACTCTAACAATGTTATTACCTTGAAATTATCGTCATCAGGTCAAGACTTTCTGTAAACTATTCGTTCATAGTATGAAGTAGCTTGTAAGCGTTTAAAAGCACAACAATATATAAATCTGTCTTATCAAGCATCAACAGTTGAAAAACGTTTTTCTAAAAGTTCTAAATTTCATCGCCTAGTAACTTTATTTTATTATTTATTTCGAGTTGAAATAAACATTGTAATTGAACTGTGTTTGAGATGTTATCTTCAACCATTGCTATCCATGGCTTTAGTGTTCGGTGTAAATCCTTTCTTAGAATGCAATTGCCAGCGTTTGACTAGAAGCAATTCTCTGACAAAGTTCCTGAAAGCCTTCTATTTTAATTTAGTGGAATGCATTTTATTTCTTAATTTATTTCTATTCCTTCTTTCCAACATTCCAGGATTGGACGAATATGTTCCTTGTTTTGAAGCATGGAAAATAATTGGAAAGACACATCTATTCCTAAAGTAGGGTTGACTCTTTACGTACTGATTTATACATTATCGAATAGTGTCTTGAAAAGAAAAAAGATGAATACTGTATAACAATTAAATTAAGAAACATTACAAATTCGGATAAAGAACGTTTTAATAATCGATTAAACTTAAGTTCTAAGACTGCCTTTCTTTGTATTTGTAATTGTCTCCAAGCGCTAGAAATTACAATTACGCTTCTTTTCTATCTGATATTCAATTCGGGATATCAATCATATAATGAAGCACTTTTCTGCAATGTAGCATTGGAAATTTCTATGATGTATGCCATCGGAGTACATCTGATTATATGGGATGTTTTTTTTCTTGCCTTTTCGATACTTAAAACTGGATTTCTGAGTTTATCGAAAGAACTTTCATTAATTAATAAGAACAGTAGAAATTTATATCACAAATAGAATCGATAATCCTTTGTCACGACCAATTGTGGCTGTTTGTTAATCACATGAACAACATCCACTACAATATAATATCTGTCGGATATTTTATTTTAATGCCACTTACGTGTCTATTTATTTATTGTTTATTGTTTATAAAGATACATGCAGCCTTAACAATAGGATTTATCGCCGCCACCTCATTTTTCATGTTAGCATGCCTTGTACCCGCCTTTTCACTGTCGACATTTACTGCCGCGGTGAGATTTTTCTCATTAATTAATAGTGATGTAACGAATATTCGGTTACTATTTGGTATTCGGCCTATTCGGCCTATTTTTCGCTATTCGGCCGAATACCGAATACCTAAAAACAGGAGTAAGAAATAACAAAAACATAATAAATTAACCATTTTGGTATTTAGTTTTAATGTTATCGGGTTGGTGTTGTTTGTTTATATTTATAACTTATAACATGCACAAAATAAAAAAATAAAAAAAAAACATAATATTAGTCACTTGTATTCACAATTTATAATTACAAAGATCAGCACGCATACACGTTTATTCGTTCGAGAATCGTCGCACATCTGAGGGTCTGACCCTGCCTATCCTTTTTAAGCGCTCGTCTTTGCTCTTTCCTTTCTCTTTCCTCTATGTCTCTAGTCCACGTATGCCTATGCATACGTCATAATACGCCCTCACGATACTTTCGATTCGTCACTTTTCCGTCGTAGATT